AACTTTGAAGTGATGCACTGTTTCACTGGGTGAGGCTGTTGGAGCTAGGAGAACATGTGCTGAAACCTCCAGGAATATATGCAATCAAAATTGGCAACCCTTCTTTCACTCTTTGTGCTTATTTCCCACTCTTATCAATATGATTACAGTCGGTATCCATTTAGAAACCCTTCCTTTGTTTTTGTAAAGCAATGCATATTCTATCCTTGTATCTTTGCTGTGTTGCAGTTGAGACTCGTGTACGTAGTAATAGTCATGTATGCCATCTATTAGATGCCCTGCAGTAATTTGTAAAGGCCTCTAATCTACACATCCCTGAACACTACGGGCAATTTAGCATGGCCAATTCACCAAACCTGCACATTTTTGGACTGTGGGAAGAAACCGGAGCACCTGGAGAAGACCCACGCAGACACGGGGAGAATGTGCAAACTCTACACAGACAGTCACCCGAGGGTGGAATTGAATCCGGGTCCCTGGCGCTGTGAGGCAGCAGTGCTAACCACCGATCCACTGTGCCACCCAAGTGAGCAGACATCAAAATTTCTGTTGAATACTAGCAGGCCTGTAAAGTGGGGAACACAGCAAATGGAACACCGGGGTATTTAAGCACAAAGTAACATAATAAGCAGTTCCAGCGATGTTGCATGGCCATCCCACAATGGGTGAGGGGCCCAGGGCAAGTCACATTCAGTGAGGTATCTCCTTCTGACCTGGTAAATTACACTGTGCATCACCCTCAGCTCTTCAAACTTTACTGCCATTCCTCAAATGAGGGTTACCCCCTTTCTGGTTGCCTGCAGTGGTTGCCCTGATTAGCTCTACCCTGAGGAACTGTTAAATGAAGTTGCGACTACTACTTAATAACAGTAGAATTTGGAAAACCTATAGTTCCAGCAAATACTTGCTCTTCTCCTGTACTATCATCTCCTTCCTCACCTCCAAACACTTCACTCTATAATGAGAAATTAGATTTGATGGGCTAGCAGTTATACTCTGATGAGTTATTCTTTGCCAAATTTTTTTTCAAAAGACTGTTAATACCTGTCCACTCTCCATCACAGCTCTAGCCTGTTGGTGGGCCTTGTACAATTCATGTCTGCGATCCACTTTTCTCTGGAACCGAGGCTGTTTCCTGACTGGATCATCACCAGTATAACTCGGGGAAATCACCATAGGGACTGGCATAACATCATCGATAAAGATGAAGGGTTTGAAGACAGATCTAGTAATAAATTTTTTAAAATATTAGTGTAGCGTGCAAAGGAACAGAGGGAGGTCATACAAGAGCCACTAAGCAAATCAAGCTGCCCTGTTACCCACCCACTCCCATACACAACAACGTTTTTCAAAAATTTATTTTATGATTTCTCGCCTCGCTGCAGACAAATCAATGTCATCAGGTCAAGTCAAAATACAAAGCAAGCTAAGAAATAAATTGTGTTATAATGTCTACCCATGGAATTTATGAATGACTGTATTCAAGTTTCACTTCAAGACCATGACAGTAGGAGATAAAGGTAAAGTTAAAGTCGTCATAGTCTTACCAGACCATAGGACTGCCCTCTCAGGAAGAGGTGAGTGTGGTGGTTTAACCCGAGGATCAACCTGCCTTGAAAGTGGAATGATGACATTTTTCTAAGTGGACATCAAAATTTCTGTTGAAAAGGAAAGCCTTTCATGGTAATCTCAGCCAGTGCGGGAATTGAACCCTTCTGTTGGCATTACTCTGCATCACAAACTAGACATCCAGCCAACTGAACTAACTGACCCCCAATATGAAGTATAACAGTGCAGAGTAAGAAACTGGTCAGATTGTGGATAAAATAGTGGATTGCCCCTTTAGCAAAATCCGTCAATGCATCGGTCATAAGTTGCTGCCCTAAGAAAATATCTGCTACAAACAGGAGATGGTGACGCAGTTGTAATGTCACCAGATTAGAAATTCAGATGCTCAGGCTAATGTCTGCAACATGCATTTGAATCCCACTAAAGCAGTTAGTGGAGTTTAAATTCAATTGATATTTCAAAAGCTGTTCTTTTAAAACAGTGACAATGAACTCACTGTTGATCGTCTTAAAAAGTCGTCTGGATCACCAATGCTATTTAGAGGAGGAAATCTGCTGTCCTTACCTGGTCTAGCTTACATGCGACTCCAGAACCACACACAGCATTGCAGCCGACTCTGAATCGGCCTAGCAAGTCACTCAGTTTGAGAGCAATGAGGGACAGGCAACAAATGCTGGCATTACTGGGGGCACCACTTCCCAGAGAACAAAAGAGAAAAAAAAACACACACACAATACTGTTGAAGAAAAATTGTTAATGTGTTTACCAACTTTGGTTAACTGACCTCGAAGGGTCAGGAGTGGCTGTAAAAAAATGCACGCAGGGTAAACTGTCATCCTGAGGTAGGATGGAAACCATACTGCCTGTGGTACAGAAGGTTTCAGAGTCCATGCAGATTCCACTTTCTTTATCACGTAGGATGTCCATGATAGTCTCAGCTTGGATGCTTCCCGCTGTGAAACAATGGAAGATTATTATATACAAATGTTAAGTTTCTCAAACATTTCTAGATCAAAATCTTCTTTGTTTCATGACTAGGTCTGTTATATCAATTCAGATTGATCGCCACACGTTTAGTTAGCTGTTATCACACACTACGGCTACAGTGTGACCCACCTACAGCAACTCACCAACACTAACAGCATTCTGATATAGTAATTCAACCATCTCAATCTAAAAATTAGAGCTAGCCCTTTCTAGAAGGGAATTAAGAAATATATTCACACTCAGAGGATGGTACAAGTTTGGTTCTCTCTTCCACAAACAGTGAAGTTCAGTCAACTTTAAATCAGAGATTGATATTTTTTTGTTAATCAAAATGTGGAGGGGATAAAGGACATATGTAGGTAATTGATGATAGGTCATTTGTTGACCATAGTCTTTCTGAAGGGCTAAAAAACCTGGTGTTCCTACATACCCAGATTGACAACAGTTCACCATGACACAACTGGCCTCATGGTAAAAAAAAGTCATGAGCAAAAAAATTCCTTTTCTTCCCCTATGTGATATAGAAACCAGAAAACTGGACAGTTGCTTAGCCAAAAGTTAATAGAAGGAGCCTTGAATTTCTTAATTTGGAGAAAGCTGGAATACTGAGGAAAATTAAAAGTAAATTCAAGTGTGTTGCGGCATACCTTTGTGTTGGTTCCCATAGAAGTGCCTGAACTGTCAATACTTCGAAAGATAAAAAGGAACTTCAGTGGAGTGGGGAAGCGTCAGTAGAATTGAATTCATTGCTAAGTAATAATAAGCTGTATAATGTTGAGTTAATAATGCTGGCATTATTATTATTGCAGAATAAAAAGTAGTTTGTTTTTGTTTATAAATGGAAAATCTTGGTGTGTTTCTGTTAATTATAGGGTGTTCAAGATTTCCCTCCATTTGTTATACCAGTAACCGTGTTTTCAACTGCTTGATCACTTGTTTAACAACACTTGGACACAATAACATTAGTTAATGATTCTGAATTTTATTCACCTTGTTTACAAAGCAGCTCCTTGCCTCCTATGTAACGAACTTTTGCAGCCTCCATTCTCACTGGTGGGTTAGTTGGGGAGAAAACCTGGCAGAAATTGAACTCACTAACACCGCTCCACCATCCCTGACTCTGGGCATAATTTCGAAGGCCAGGGTGCTCACTGCTGATCTCTGTGGTGATAGTCAGCTGATTGGAGATGTTTTTTGCTCCTTCTGGTAAGTATAAAGAACACAGCTTATAAAAGAATCTGAGTCATCTTTGTGACAGGACGAATTTTACATCAGTCACATTCAGTTCACTTTATTTCTCCCCCTTCAATTTCTGCTGAGGCAAGCTGGAGCTCTGGAAGTGCCAACTGCTCTCTCGCTACTCAGACATCTAATTCTTTAGATGTGACCCTTGACGTTTGAGCGAGTGAGTTAAGAGGAGGAGTCATACTAGATTTGAAACATTAACTCTTACACTCTCTACAGATGCTGCAATCTAAGTTTCTCCAGCATTTTTTTTTATTTCAGATTTCCAGCATCCCACACTTTGTTTTTTAAATGAGTGAGTTAATCAAGTATTTGTTTCATTGCAGCTAACCTCATTGTGTCCATGACTATGCCCAAATACATTGATAGCTAGTTGGCAGTTTGGAGGAATAGTCCAGGAGACATCTTTCTGCAGTAAAATTAGGAAATGTTTCTACCTGCAAAGGGTAGTAAAATTTCAGAACTCTCTTCTGTAAATGGCAATTCACAGTAGATCAGTTGTTAATTTTAAATCAGTGATTGATAGATAAGTTAGTCAAAAGATGTAAAAGGATATGGGGCAACAGCCGGTAATTTGGAGATAGATTGAAGATTAACCATGAATCACGAAATGATGGAACAGGTTTAAGTTAAGTGGCCTCCTCCTGTTCCTTTAATTGTAACCGCTCTTCAAAATTTCTCCCCTGTATCTCCAAGATGTTAAAATCAATTCTATTGTTCCTTTGGTTGAACTTAAAGACCAGGTAACAATTCGTGTAGCATTAAATCATGCAAATGCCAAAGTATTGAAAGACAAGAGCTTTTGGAGAACCAGCTTGATCATAAAAGTCGGTCATCATGCTGGTTCTATCACAATGTCCACTTCCCCGACAGTTTACTGGGCTTTTGGATAACAGCAAAGACTTTAGGAATCCAGTTTCCAACCCAAATTGCAGCCCCAACAACCCCCACCCTTTGGAAATTGCACAGTGGGTAGGGGAGAAACTCATAAATACAACTGGGAATAAGCATAACTGACCAGCATCACATTGTTACCCAGTATCATCAGTAGACATGAAATGAATAACAATTTAGAGTCACTGAATTGTTACAGTGCAGAAACATGGCTGTTGGCCCGTCGTGTCTGCTCTGGCTCTCAAAATCAGCTGTGCCATTCTCCTGCCTTCTGCCTCTAATCCTGCATATTGTTCCTTTCAAATAACCATCTACTTCCCTTTTGAATGTCTCAATTGAACCTGCCTCCACCACACTTTCACACAGCGCATTTCAGAACCTAACTACTTGCTGCATGTAAAAGTTACCGTCATATCACTTTTGCTTCTTCTACTAATTACTTTAAACTGTGTAAGCAATTTGAATAGGAGACATCATCATAAAAACAACAGCCCTGGTATAACCATCTGCTACAAGTGGGCAGGATGACTGAATTATGATAAACGTTGATACTACAGTAACAATTCTGGCACAGTTGTCAAACATGTTGACACCTTTAGGCTGAAGTTAAGTAAAGATTTTTAATGTCAAAAACAGCTCTAAGACACAATCTATAGGCATGTTGAGACCTCCAGAGGCTTAGCAACAAATTCAAAAGAAGCCTGGGCTGAAAAACAAGATACTCAGCCAAATCAGCAAGAACTTTCCAGCTTTTCTCCTGACAGTATTCAAAAACACATGACAAAACCACTGGATAGTTTAGACATACAAATAAATGATTGATGATAAAATATGAATACGATTGCACATTTTTATGCAGAGGGACCGGACCAAATATATAATCTATTCAGGAATGCAATGCACTGGAGTCCAAGACCCTTAGTCGTATGGAATGTTCTACTTGACAAGTTGGCTTTGCTTGTTTTCCTTCCAGAGCCGGTTACTTCTCCTCTATCAAGAACTACATATCATAAGTTTCTTTTTGCTAAGTGACTGGAAAGGAGTTTTGCACATCTTAGGTTCCTGCAGTAGTTTGGAAAATGAATTGTTCATTAGAGAAGTGCATTGCATTTTTGCTTTGATACTGCCATGATTAAAAGACCTCAGATTGAGTTCTGCAGGCCGCATCACTGTGAAATCTTTCATATTACCCTATTAAGAGAACACAGATTAACCACAAAATGATTTTCACCATTGACCTGTAATTTGCTGAGCAGCCCAGTATTGCCCAGATGTCTCCAGTACCCAAGCCTCTTTCCTATCCACAATCAGAAATGTATTATGATAGCTGAATGCTTCTGGGGCTTCTTTGCAGTTCCCACCCTGGCCATACTGCTCCAAAAGGGATGTGATAGCATCAAGGGCTTCCTTAGCAGTGGAACCTCTCTCCAGTCCAAGCCTAAGGGAGGAACGAGAGATAGGATAATATACATTAAAGTAGGAAGAGACTACAATCTATACTAAGCATCACAACAGTGACAGGGGGAAAAGAAGTATTTGGCAAACTTCGAGAGGGAAAAACAGAGGCACGTGCATTAGGTTCAATTACACGTCAGATACACAAGGCAGTTTTGATCGGTATCGTGATCTATTTGCAAACAAAATGCAATAGATTTAGTCACACTTTGTGTTGACACCCCTTTTAATAACAATGTATAAATAATTATTAATAATGTTAGAATGAAATACCCATGTGGCAAAGATTTGGTATAACGATACTGTCTTTTCCTGCATTCCTCAATGTTATTCAGGCTAGCCTTTGAATACACTATCACAGTGATTACTTTAACAAATAATCAAAGATTATTTAACAAATAATTAAGACTCCTGTGGTAGATTATTAGAAGTAGCTACAACAAAGGCTGTATTAGTTGACAAATGCTTAAAAAGTTCTTCTAAAGACTGGCATTTGTTTGGCTCCTTTCACAAAGTCAGAAAAGTCCAAAATGCTTGCTTCTGCCTATTCCAAATACAGGAGTTAACTCATTTAGTTGAAACGGTTAGGTGCCACAGGAAGGTACACACAGAGCATTTTCACATTATACTTTGTTTAGGGGGATGGTAATTGACTATTAATCTAGAAGTTCAAATCCTAACATGATAAGTGGAGCAATTGAATTTTAAAAATTTGGTCATTTTGTACGTGCATAAGAAATAAAAATCAAGTAGTGTGGTCAATCAGCTCAATTGCTGAATGGCTACAATTGATGCAGAATGACGCCAATGGTATGGGCTCGATACCTATACCGTTAACAGCAGTTCATGTCAGCCTCCCTCCTCACTTACCCCACAGTGTGAAGTGGTGTCCCTCCATCTATATACAACCTATGGGCTTGCTTGAATGGCAAGAGATCCCTATTGGTCCTTTGTGGACAAGGACTAATTGTTTTCCTATCAAATTTCCAGATTTGTTATAAAAACTCGGCTGGTTCAGTCTTTTTTAAAAAGTAGGGCTGCCCCCACTTTTTACTCTGTCTTTACATGTTTTCGATGCTTGGTAGAATAAAGAAGAGTTAATGGTTAGGAGGAAGCCATTAGCCCAGTCATGTCTGTGCCAGTCAATATAGCAAAGGGAATATAGCCCAGTCAGTTACAGCATTTTGTGTGCTTATCCAAATATGCTTGAAATGCATTAAGAGTTCCTACATTTACAATTCTTTTAGACAAGAGTTCCAGACCCTCAAACCTCTCGGTAAAGTTTCTTCTCTATGCTCCTGGTTAATAACCAAATTACCAAGCGAAATAAGATCTTCCTATCTACTTTATCTACCTAGAATAAATCTACCTCAGCCTCCTCTGTTGCAAAGCAAGCAATCTCAACCTTTCCACTTAGCTCAACATCCTCCACTGCTGGCAACATCCTGGCAAAATCTTCAATACACTTTCTCTAGTTGAGCCATTGACCTTACTAATGTTTTATCCAGCATTAGAAAAACTTCCCTGCTTTATATTAAAATGAAGTTGGATAATAAAAGGGATGCTGGATGAAACACCTTAACGCCCACTACATACTTAATGCTAATGCCCCCACAGTTCAAACAGGAATAGGCAAAACTGGAGTGCAGGTCATCTTGGCAAACCAAGAACTTAGTCATTTCTAAGCACGTTTTCAGCAAGAGGAAGGAAAAAAGGAAAAATATCAAACCAAAATGGTGCCATCGAGATGAAAATTCCTACTGTCAAAGAACATCCCATTAAGTCACTGGGCTCAAAACAGAAGCTGAGTTAAAAGCTGGCGCTCCATCAAGGTAAGCTTCTGAAGTTCACATAAATTAACACAGAGAATACTTGTGCAGTGTAGTCCACTGGTTTTCAAACATTTGTATCAATACAATAGTTTTCACTTTATTACAAATGGAAAGAAGCTTCTACCTGACAAGGTCCATTCCAAGCAGTGCTTCCTTCTCATTGACGGGCTCTTTAGTCCACACAGCTTCATTGCCAATGCAGACACCATGGCTGTTGGCGCCCATTTCAGCTCCCCACAGCCAGGCCGGCCTGCTGAGAATCACTGCATGTGTTTTCTCAATCTGCTCGATTTCAATGTAGGTGCACTATTCAATTAAGAAAATACATTAAGTATGGTCTGCAGCAAATATAGGCAGTTCTAAAAATGGGTTGTCTACAATTCAAATTAGTATGTCCATTATTACTTGCTAATCCAAACAAACCATGTATCATGGTATCTTGAGGAGAATTAAGTTGTGCTCTAATTGAGGTGCTTAGAATAGCTAAAGGATTTTGATCAGATAGGTGGAGAAATCCACAACAAAAGGATATGGACTTAAAATTAGAGCCAGGCCATTCAGTGCAATGTCAGGAAGCACATGTTCACATGAAGATTAATACAAATATAGATCTCTCACCTAAAAGGCAGAGGCTGAGGATCAACTACAAATTTCATTAAAAAAAATCAAAAATTAAATATGGACATGGAACCAAGGAAGGTAAATGGAGACAAAATAAGATAAGCCATGACCTAACTAAATAGTAGAACGGACTTGAGGGAACAAATATCCTACTCCTGATCTCATTTAGTAAGCAACTTAATAATGGAATATCATAACTGTTTATTCTTCTGCTGCACAAAACTATATATTCACCGTAGTATTTTGCAAGTTCGTGAGACTGTTGGGAGTCAGAATCCTTACAGAGCGGAAAGAGACCATTCGGCCCATTGAGTTTGCACTGACGCTCAGAAGAGCATCCCACGCAGGCCCAGCTCTCCCACCCTATTCCCATAACTCTGCAATTACCATGCCTAATCATCCTAATCTGCACATCCCCAGGCACTACAGACAATTTAGCATGGCCAACCACCTAACCTGCACATCTTTGGACTGTTGTATCGTACAGTTTAAGGAGAAAAAGATAATCACATCATAACTAGGACAAATAAAAAATTCTCTTGAGCAATTCAGTTACCTTAGTGAAGAAAATGTGCGCACATTTTGGAGCTTAATTACTTCCAGCATTTGGAAAGGATGGGTGCTGAAATACCAATTATTTTCAAGTTCTTTCCAAGCTTTGAAGTGGAGACCTTAATGAAGCTAAACTATTCTAGAAAGTAGGTAGTGTAATAGACAAGGAAAGAATGTGGAAAATGCCTAATTTACCTTCAGTTTACCTGAAACATGGTGCCTGAAATTGGAAGACTCATCTTCACACATTAAAAAAAAATCAATGGAAGATATTCACAAAAAATGATTATAGATGAACCCCGAATATCTACAACTTGGATATATGCTTCCATATAACAAATTCCACTTTTGAACAAAGTCATTTTGAAGTGGTTTCCTAACTAGTAAAGGAACTTTGAATAATCACTAGAGCATATGATCTATAGGAAACACAACAGCATAGCAAAGGAGGAATTTAACTTGAAGATCTAATTGACCAGGGAAACAGCAAGCTTCATAATAGTCTAAGAAACATGGTGATATTATACACATGCTTAATGTTGTCACTGTAAATTTCTCTACAAGTGAAAGTAATTTAAATAGATTAATACCTACAGTAAAACTAGTGGAGAGAGAAACTAATTAACGTTATTTGCACATTAATGTGGTGCACGGCTAAGGTTGTATCAAATCATCCTGTATCAGGAAGTTTTAGTAATTCTGTGTATCCATATACTAGGTGATAGCATTAAGCTTAAAGATGAACTCAGTTCTCAAGTCTTTTAGACTAAAAAACCAGTAGACTCAACAAATCCAGCTCAAGACTATTTGCTTGCATTAATACTTTGCTCCAAAATGCAGTCTCTTGAACTATGTACTGCAAATTCATATATGCAGCTCACTCACTTACATACCTCGTACCCAAGAACTTCCACTGAAGGCTTACAAGCTAATCATGATTCAACACATTTATTTGGACAAAACTCTAATTCCCAATAACTTAATTGTCTGGACAACGGTGAAAACTCTGCATTCAAGGACCTCCAATATAGGCAAATTGGCATTAACGGGGCAGCAAAAATTGTTCTTTCCACTTGAAGTTTGTCTCCCTCATCACCTTTTGTCCATAGCTGCTGCCTGAACCAAGTATTCTCAGCACTTACTTTCTTTATTCACGGTCAGATTCCAGATGAAGAACGGATGCCAATCTCTTACCTCCACCTTAGAGCCTGGTGCATATACAGCTGCAGGAAAGTAAACCACTTCCTGAACCTCATCCAGTGGTCTGTCCGAGTTCTTCCCAAAAATCACCTCTTTTCTCTCAGTGGCAGGTGGAAGAGCAACAAAGCAGTCACAAGAAGAGGGAGCGCAGACGATACTGGCAGTCATTCTGTCAGAGTGAAAGCCATCACTCTAAAGTCAGTATTACATAACAACAAGCAATTTATAAAACAAAGGCTCAAGTATCTCTTTACTGTTCCAACTTGGACACCATTGCAACTTAGAAGGATAATCGCCAATCCTTCAATTCAGCTAGCTCAAAATCCTGAAACTTCTTCCCAACAACACTGTGGGGAAAAGTTACATTTCAAGTGATAGCAGTTCAAGTCCACCACCCCTCAACAGCAATTGGAGATGGCCAATAAACTCCTGTCTTGCCAGCAATGCCCAAATCCCAATAATGAATATTAAAATAAAACCACTGCTTACCTTTATTAATCCAAAAGCAAAAATCAGTGATCTTGTGTAACTTGCTAGTTTGGAGGCAATACGGAGATATTCAATCCAGGAGCTTCTTGGTTTAATGCCTGGTATAGCTGAGTCAGCCAAGGCATCAGGAATGGTATTATGAGATAATAGGAACTGCCGATGCTGGAGAATCTGAGATAACAAGGTGTCGAGCTGGATGAACACAGCAGGCCAAGCAGCATCAGAGGCGCAGGAAAGCTGACGTTTCGGGTCTGGACC